ATTTCTCAGTTCAACTCTAAGCAGTCAGACAAGAATTTTAAATACCATATCCTTCTCTCCATCTTGGTTGTTCTCTTTTACATTATAGTGCTAAACATTTACAACCTGTACTATAACCATAGTTGTGATTCTTAGTTTGTCTAGAGGTGGATTCTTACTGTCTACAGGTGAACTGTAAACTTGAAAATCAGTAACTTTTTCCCCTACAGGCAGTTCTTTCTTCTAGCCCTGCAGCCTTTCAATCTGGATAGGCCAGGCCCCCTGCTATAAAACCATCACCCGAATCTTGCCATCATTGCTTTTTCTGAATTAGTTCTACTGCTTCATAGATCTAACCTGCTCCAGTTTCTTCGACAATTCCCTTAGTTTGATTCTTAAATAACATCTTAAGATAATAATATTCAGGAGGTAAAGCTTTCTAGGTTTATATTTTCCTTTTTTATTCTGCCTCCATGTTGTTGATATGCTTGAGTTGGGAGAGAACTCCAGGTTTAAAGCAATATACCTTTGGAAGTTTTAAACTCTTAATACTCAGTCCTGTTCATGAGAAATCTGTTGCCAACCTGACTCATTCTTTTATATAGGACCTGAATGTGTGCTTGGGAAACTTTTAGAATCATCTCTTCATTCTTGCTATCCGTATATTTCATAATATATATATACATGTGCATGTCTTCCTTTTTCCTGCTCAGCACTCAGTACACCTGTAGACCCATATCTCCCTAAATTGTCTACAAGTCAACAAACTGTTTTCTTGCTAAATAGGATTCATCCAACTATCATCTTTCTGTTTCTGGGACTTTTATTCTAACAGTAAAAACCTAGATTACTTCTTATGGCATCTTTTGTCCTATGTTGTTTTTCTCTACTTCCCTCTTATCTCTAATCTTGCTGTAATGCAACAGTGCCTACAAATTGACCTTATAGGCAGTAAGACAGAAAAATCTCTCATAACTAATGTTCATCTCTTCTACTTAGTTCAAGGCTTACCCTATGTTAGTCCTCCTGGATTTCTGAGTGTTATGTGATTGCTTGGATTCACTCCTACCACAAAGCAAGATGTTTTTAGTGTTTGGTATTGTCTTAGTTACTTTGTCACTGAAACACAATACATAACACTCATAACTTAAAGGAGGAAAGGTGTATTTTGGCAGTTTGTAGAGTCAGCTGGCTCCAAAGCAGAGCAGTCAGGAAGTAGAGATTGAGAGGAAAGAGGATAGATGCTTCCAGGCCACATCCCCTGTGACCCACCTCCTCTGACCATGCTTCACCTCCCAAATCACATTTAGCTATAAACTCATCAGCAGACTCATCCACTGATCGGTGTCACGCTCCCATGATCCAATTGCCTCCCAAAAGCTCCACCTATGAGCTCATGAGGCTTTGGAGAGAGAGCATCTAGATATAAACCATGACAAGTATACAGCAGTGAACAGAGAAGTTCCTTACTTTGTAGTAAACGGAAGCAAAATTTTATAAAATTAAAATAGTGCATGTCAGGCAGAGTTCTGGAGTCGGCAGCTGCAGTTGCAGCTTTCTGACTTGGAAGGGGACTTCTTGTTCACAGATGGGCAGCAGCTCCCTTCTGAGTTGCAATACAACTTTAGAAATTTTTCTGAGTCCTTCCTTTACTATGTTTCTTCAGCCCTCCTATGATTCTGCAGAACACATAATATCCCAAAGAAATTATTCTTTAGATTAGCTAAAGTAAATTCTATGAATTGTTCTCTGCAACTGAATCTGCTACAATATTCACCAAAATAAATTATAATTTTTTTTAGTGGAAAGCCCTCTTGGTAGTTTTCTTTGTCCCCTAAGATCAAACTACAGCAGCAAACCTCATTTTAAGAGCCCAACATTGCTACCATCCCCAATTTTGTACACACACAGGGAAGCATTTCTATTTTTCATCTAGGTAGAGAACTGATACAATGAGAATTTCAAGCTCACAGCTAACCAGAGGTATTATACTGTAATCAGCAAGTATCAATGGACTTGTGGGAAATGACCCTGAAAGATATCTGAGCTTCCCAAAGTTTCAAGCTAACAAAGATGTAACTTTCTCTAGAATGATTTCTAGAAGCCTCATGTTATACTACCAAATTACTGGCTTTTATGACATGGCCCATTGACAGATTTGTGTAGAGTTTATGCAACACAACAGTTTATTCTGAGTGGCTGACATTAAAATTATGTTTGCCAGGTGTGGTGGCACAAACCTGTAATCCCAGCACCCTGGGAGGCTGAGATAGGAGGATCGCAAGTTCCAGGCCAGCCTGAGCATTTACCAACTTAGTGAGATCCTGTCTCAAAATACAAAAAGAATTTTTTTAAAAAGGCTGTAGATGTAGTTTGAAGGCCTTGGGTTCGATACCCAGTATCACACATACCGTACATACTCACATGCACTCATAATTTGTTTGCTTCTAGAAAATGCAAAAATATAGTATCTTAGCTTGGGTTACCATAACAAACTACCATAGACTAGTTAACTTAAACAATATAAATTTGCTTTCTCAGTTCTGAAGGCTGGAAGTCTAAGATTAGAGTGCCAGCTGATTTGGGTCCCAGTGAGGACTCTATTCCCAGCTTGCCCCATTCTTATCCTGTGCCCTCCACTGGTGAGAGTGAGCTCTGGTTTCTCTTCCTCTTCTTAGAAGGCACCAATCATAACTGATTAGGGCCCCAACTTCACAGCCTCATTTTGTTACTGTATGGTGGATCCGACAGGCAGGTTCCAGGTTCCTGTGTATGGCAAGAAATGAATTGCAAAGCGTACACTCAGGGGTGAAGAAAAAGCAGCAACTTTTATTGAAGGCCAGAAACAAATGAATGACAGAAAAGGAACAATGCAGGTCATGGAGACAATGAGGATCCTGGGCTCAAGAGTAGGAGGGGAAAAAAGAGCTTGCACATGCTTTGGTTTGGGCTTATATGGAATGCTGCTAAGGCAACAATGGAGCTCAAGTGGGCAGAGGAGAGTGAATTCCTCAATCCCTAATATCCTTCCTGTCTGTACTAATTTCACTTAATTACTTTCTTATGGGCTGTATCTCCAAATACAGTCACATTGGAGGTTAAGGCTTCAACATACAAATCTAGGGGAACACAATTTAGTTCATAGCACATATTTTCTAGATTTTGCTCTTAGGAAACAAAAGCATATTTTACAATATTGGTGATAATAACAAAAATAACATTTATTTGTCAACTAGCTTGAGCCAGGCATGGTGATGTTTTTAAACATTTTCTTACCTCATCCTCACAACCAATGAGGTAAGGTCTATTATCCTCATGTTACAGACCAGGAAGCAATGGTCAGAGATACTAAGTAATGTGTCCAGGTCACATAGCTGGCATAGTGAAGATTCCAGGACAGCCATCCTGTTAGCCCCCACATTACAATTTAATATATAAAATGCTGGCACATTATAGAATATTAAGAAGGGTGTTAGGTAAGAATTCTACAACCAGGTGACACTGCAGACTCAGATGGTACCATTAATGGTGCTATAAGCACCATCCTAAATATATACTGTATCGTGCACACTTCGTGAAAGGAGGACTGAGTTCCTGAAGTGTAAGGGAGAAGAGAGCTTGGGATTATTACACACCAATTTACACTCGCACTGTTTCCTTATCATCTCAGTGACCTTGGCTTTTTAAATTTAAATAAGACTTTACCTACTAATTCAAAATAAAAATATGAGAATTCTGGTATGTCCCATTTACCATTAGAAATATCCTGTACAGTTATCTTGACCTAGTTTAATCAAATGCCTTTATCAAATGTAAATTATGATAGCACGTTCACAAGGTTAAATACAAACCACATGAACCCCAAAATGTGACTCCACCCACTTTATTATCTGTTCTGAAAATACTGCAAGAAAACTCAAAATGAAAACAAAGCTGTAAAGAAAAAATGTATAACAGAACACTTGTAAACATTCTTATAGTGTCAGTTATTAAATTCTTCCCCGTATTAGGTTGGCATATCTGACCTTTAAAATGATTGTACGAATACTAAGGGAAAAGTTACTCCCTGATTCACTCTCAGAACCTACATTAAAATAAAATAAACTTGTCAGGCTGTCTGTAGTTCAAGAGGAGTGTGATAGTTAATTGTGGTGTCCACTTGAATAAGAAATGCCTAGAGGATTAGTTTAGCACAGTTCTCCCCACAGATGAGGGACTTACCGAAGAGGGAAGACCTACTCTGGGTGTGGGTGGCACAGTCCAATAGGCTTGTGGTCTGGATGGAATAAAAAGGGAAGCAAGAAGTCTGGCTTCTGCATCTTTGGAGAAGCACCAGTCTTCCTGTTGCCTTTGGATGTACCTCTCCAGCCTTCCCACGCAGACTTCCTCCTGACTCGACTCTGAAGGGACTCTACAGTGAGTTACAGACTTGACTTCTGACTGGATTCTGCAGCTCTTCAGCGCTCAGACAACCCTTTGCACTCTTCCACACCTGACTCTGCAAGCTGCCACTGTGAGCCTACCTTGTAAATTCTTTAAATATCATCTATATCTCTATGTTCTCTAGTAACCCTAAGCAGAAAAACAGATTTTTAAAAACCTGGTGAATATACAGTACTCTTAGATTGGATAATCCTAGAGTTCTCTGCAAGTGCCCCAGAATTTAAAATACCTGCAAATGCCAAGTGTATTCAACAACACTCAGCAAACACACCTCCGGAGCTGTTGTTTTTAAAACTATATTTAAAAGCTGGGCGCGGTGGTGTGCTTCTATAATCCCAGCACTCTGGGAGGCTGAGGCAGGCAAGTTCCAGACCAGCCTGCCTGGGCAATTTAGGGAGACCTTGTCTCCTAAAACAAAAGCAAAACAAAACCAAAAACACAAAAAGGAAGAAAGGAAGAAAGAAAGAAATGGAGAAAGGAAGGGAAAGAAAGGAAGAAATCCCACCCCACATATTATAAACATACCTAGCTTTTATTTTTAGCACCTCCCCACCCCTCCCAACAATGGGGTGGAAAGGTCTTCGGAAAGGTGGAAAGAGGTCGGTAGAAGAGCATGCAATCAATCCCTCCCAGTGGTCCGTCCCCTTCCGCTCCAGTGCTCCTTTTAATTTCTGACAAATAGGGACACTCCCTATCACAATCCTTCTAACTCCCAGTTGCATCACAATCACCTGGAGCGCCCTGGGCTCCCACCTGCCTTCCTGCCCTCCCTCTTCCCCTTTCCCTCCCCTCCCCTCAGGGACTCGGGAGGTCCGCGGGAGCTGGCTGCGAGGTGGACGTCTGAGAGCCACTTACTTAAAAGAGGGCAGCTGAGCCCTCCCAGGAAGCCGGACTTCCACAATCTGAACCTGAGTGGGGCCCGGCCGCCTGTGGTTTGCTGAGATGCAGGGTCCAGGGCCATCGCGGGGAGCTGCGGTACGCTGGGCTCCCAGGGGCGGGAAGTTCGGGCTTCCTGGGAACCTCGGCGGAGTCTCGGGCGCAGGGCGTCCCGCTGCCGGGGCCCCGCGGGCCCAGAGGCTGAGAACTCCCACTCGGAGCCAAACCGAGCCCCGCGCCCGTCTTGGGGTACAGGCCCCGAAGTACCAGGCTGCGCAGCCCAGCCCCGCGAGGCCCCGCCCCGTCCGCTAGACCACGCCCCCGCCGCGGTCGCGCTCCACCAATCACCAGCCTCGCGCACGCCGCACCTGCGAGGAGGAGCCCGCGCGCCGCCGCGGCCCGCCCCGCCC